TGTTAAAAACTTGATCCTCTACAATTGTGTACGTCGTGTCGATTGCTCCACCACCATTACAGCTTTCCCATTCTATTTCTTACCGTTGGCCTCATCCAGCGAACTCCTTGGGTTTTCGAAGACCTCGGTCCAAGCTCGTTGAATCCCAGAGATGACGTGGCGCACGGGAACAGGCTGTCCTCAAAAAGCTTCCCACTCTGCAGGCTCCTGGCTCGTAATGCTTCATAATCCTGACCCAGGAGCTTCACTGCCTTGTGGAACTGTCCCAGGCCTTCGTCGCGGTCCCACTGGCTCCGCAGCCTGGCTGCCATGCCTGTGGCATAGATAGGCGCTTCTACCATTTTGGATTTTGAGCGGAAGAGTGCTGGGCTGGACTGTCTTCACTCTACTCCCTGCACGTGTGCAACTACAATATGATGTTGGGATGTGTCAATAATGAATGAGCCAACTGTGGCCTACTGCATCAACAGCTCCCAGTAAAAAGCAACTATGACAGCATTGATGTGTGTGGTCTCAGACTTCAACTGTAAATCTGAATAGAACATCAGAGGCTGATAAAAGGTAATTAAATGTTGATGAGATCGAGCAGGTCCTCAGAGCTTCTGCCTCCAGTGGAAATGGACGCTCCAGGTGCCAAATAACAATGGTTCAAGTTTTTAAATCCTTTTTCAATGAATGGTTGTCACTTTGTTGTGATTGAACTGGCACTAGGCGAAAGGTCAAACTGCCTTTGTCCAATCGGTTAAATATCCCTGTAAAAAGAAAGAATCATTTTAGATACTAGGCAGAGAAAATCTACACATTCTGTACATTAATGTGAGTCAGGTTTGTAAGGTAGTTGATTGGTCAGTTAGCCATTGCGTCCATTCATTTGTCTGCTGGAAGTCAGGTAGGAAGGTTGACCGTGGGGTCATATGTAGAGGTAGGGTGGTCAGTAAATATACAAGTGGGGTTATAAGTAAGACAGTCTCTCACTAGGGAGACTGGAAGGGTAGATGAGTGCATGGTCAGTTGGTAGCAGGGTCAGTAGAATACAGTAGATGACCTGATAAAGGCTACAGGAGGTAGAGAGGAAAGGCATGACCTGATAAAGGCTACAGGAGGTAGCTAGAGAGGAAAGGTTGTAGGTTGATTGTTTGTAGGGAGGCATGCAGGCAGGACTAAGGCTGAGAAGCTAGGTCAGTTGGTCAATAGATGGGAGGTGGATGGGTAAAGATGAAGGGCAGGAGGTTTGGAGGTTGGTAGGTCAGTTTGTTCTGTCCCAGTATGTAGACGTGTATGAAGGTGGACAGAGCAGAGGGAAACAATAAAGATCTGGTTAACAGGTTTGTTGGAAATGAATTTCGTAGAAACGTAGGAACATCAGGAACAATAGGAACCAGAACATGGAGGGTTGGCCCGTGAGTCAGTTTGGATAAATAGTAGAATAGTAAGAGCGTTAAAGAACAAAGGAACAGTGGGGCAGAAAGGGCAAACGCATAGTTTTTCAGGTATGCAGTTAGGTTGGTAGGCTTGTAAAAGCTTGATCTCAAAATGTTCAGTCGGTATAGATTGTAATCCAAGTAGAGCATCAATGATTACGCACGCACAGACTATCTTCGCTATATAAACACAGAAGACATCGCCAACTAAAATAACTGTGTCATGAATAAACTAATGCAAGCAAAAGTTCAGAAGATACCTTTTATAAATGCTTTACAAACTGTCATGTTGCATCTTAGTCAACTAAATTAATTTAAAACATTTCTCATTAGTTGTTTAGGACTGACTTGCGAATGTTATAATTTAGTCAAAAGTTGGCTGTTACCATTAACGCTGGTCACATAACAATTTACCTTTGAAGGATAAACACCTTAAAGTAGCTTCCTTTCTAGACCATGCTGCTTGTTTTTCTTCTGAGATCTGACAACTGATGTGGGAACTGTGTGCGTGTGAGCACCACACAGTTGGTCTTGGGATTTCTTCACATATGACAGCATTGACAAACATTCTGAAGAAGGACTTCCTTTCTGCTGCTTGTCACTGCCACTCAGATATCAGTAACCACAGAAGACCAAACGGAGGGCAGCAGAGACGTCTTATACTGTTGTTTCCATGTTGAACCACACCCTTTTAAAGTTTCCCACTTAAATGAGTCACTCAGTGAAAACATGTAGCTGCAGCAGCAGGTTCTCAGGTCTGTTCTTTCACATCACATTGGTGTTTGACATTTACTACTAGAAGCTCTGAATCTGTAACTCAGATTTAGCTCATGCTCTTTGATTAAGGATCTGGTTGTGACAAATGCAGCAACATGTGATATGTTACTATATATGTTATAGTTGGTTATAAAAAAAAGTATGGCATGCTGGACCAATAAATGTGACCATCTTTAATTTCAGTGTTGCACAAGTAGAAACTATAAGAAAGGAAAGGAAAGTAAAACAGTTACAGATATATGCTGACATGCACACGTGTGTTTGTGTGTGGTTTTCTCCTCAAAACATGTTACATCCTGATTGTTATCATGCCTGAGGGAACCTCGTGTCCAGCCTGATGTGCCCTGATGCCAGTAAGCATTCTGGTGCATTTCTGCAGGCTTCGTATTCCAAACACTGTGAAGTGAAATGAAATATCTAAAGTGTCCTTGCAGTAAAGCAGTGCAGAAAATAAACAGTCAGAGGAAACACTACCCGCTCAGGGTGCTGTGTTTGAGTGTGTGTGTCCACAGGGAGACAGTCTGCTAACAGTGACTGTGTGTCAATCACAGTGGAGAAACAGTGGGAACAATTACTTATAAATAGACTGTAGATTTATATCATCTGTGTTTAAAATTACACTACAAAGCCTGTGCTGAGGCATATAAGACCTCAATTGACTGATTTCACTTAATAATTAAATGTTAGCCCATAGGGTTGCTAAAAGGGTATACTTAAAACCTAATTAACTGCCAATAACAAAGAACAAAGAGCTCTTTATTAGCTAGTAAAAAATCTTTTTTGCTGTAGTAAGCCAAAATATAAGTAAGAATGAGACCAAACACAGTGAGGTGAAAGGAGTAGCATTATTTACTGGAAAATAATGGAAAGATAGTAACAAGTTCGCCAAAACAAATAAACATTAGCTGTGTTACAAAAGGGAGCAGCAACACAGCTAGGTGAAAAGCTAGATGAAAAGGGCTACTTATGTTAGCCATTGGTGTTTAAGTTAAGTTGGATGATTAGTTCATTGTTTAGACTGGGAAAAAAACAGCAAATGGAAAAAATAGCAATTTAGTCAAGAAAATAATCACTGGTTAGCCTAACATTGCTTAATGTTTGCCAAAAGACAACCACAAACATTGATTAAGTGCTTTTTTAATACGGAGGTTTTTCCTTTTAAAAAACAGACAATATTCGGTGGATTGCCAGAGTTGTTAGTAGTTATATGCTAACGTAAGCTTTTTGAACACACTTGAATACATACATAATGTTGGAACCAGATTTAAAAAAAAAAAAAAAAGCTGCAGCCCTAGTGGTAGGTGTGGTCCCTGACAGGAAAACACGCACAAGCGCGCGCACACACGCACACTTACAGAAAACTAAACGTCAAACTCCCAGCAACAGTCGAGTCAGTCTCATATCCTTTTTAACTCTTTCTTTTTGTTTGTTTGTTTATCATCAAAATAGTTATGTTTTCTCTCAATGAGGCGAAAACCAACGACCTTCTTCCCCTTTGTTTACTTCAGATTACATGAAAGCAAACACTAGAAGTCCACCAAACTTCACGCTGACACGTCTGTCTTTTTTTTTTCTTCTTTGCCCCCTTTCAATCTCAGATGCCCCTGATTATTGTACAACTCCTACAAACTTCACTACATAGACACGTTCCCCCACTTCCGGTAGCGGCAGCAATTGCAACAGCTGTGTACAATGAAAAATAAATCAAGTTTACCTTTAAGAAAGGAATGTTCCGTTGTTGATTTTTTAAAGACGGTATTTCAGTTTTCTGTAGATTTTATCACGGAGAACCATTCGATCTTTTTCCTTCCATGTTAAGAGAAGGTGACTCCCTCCCTCTTTTTCTCTCACTCTGCCTCTGCACTCATATTAGTGCAACCAATGCGTTTATAGTGCGCGTGCGCACTAGGGATTACCCATATTAAATAAATCACCCTTGTAGTCACATATAGTTTACTTTGAATGTAACCAACAAGCCACATTTTAATATGTATGCTTTAGAATACCATCTTATGGCTCCACTACCTACGTTATAGCCTGTTTTATCATGTATTTGCTTTCAAAAGGCAGTATGTTGACTTATTTATAATACTACATCTTCTCTCAAAAGTGAGAAGTGGCAGGTCAGAAACATAACCAGAAAATCCAACCTCCAAATAGCATACACCTATGCTGCTTTAGTTATTAACGTTTATAAAATGTATATCAGTAGTTTTTACATTTTTACTCATACAATGTCACCTCTTTTTTAAAACGTAACGTTGTTAACAGATGTATCACTTACTAGTTTTACTGAGGCTCGTTGAAGGTGACCCTCATTCGAACACTGTGTTCTTTGTCTTTAGGATCTGACATTATCTCTTTATCGTTTAAGTTTACAACATTTTAACATTTAACAGCGTTTACTGACTTTATGTCTCTGTTTGTTTATGGCGTTGGCTCGTGAAAATACTATTAACTGGCCAACACTGACATCTGCAGGCAAAAAACCAGTAAGAGAGCAGTTTATTTGTTTCTCTGTCAAACTTCAAATTCCAGCGGTCATTGCGGCGTTACCCATCACACCTTTCGCTCTCGCGAGATTGCGCTCCTCCACTGCCGCCGTTCGTTTCAATCACACACTTTCAACATGGCGTCCGACGGACCACCGGGTACCGAAACTCTCCCGACCGAGTTGGGGAATGCTATCGGGGCTTTGACGACATGGAGCAACCCAGAGCTCCAGGCCAAGCTCGCGGAACTGGGGGCGCCGACGATGGGTGAGAAAAATACCGAACTGATTACAGGATCACTGGACGAAAGGGTCGTGTTTAGCTAGCATCCTTAACAGGATGCTAATGCTAGTATTGTAAAGCTGGGCCTGTTTATATTGTCCTGTTATATTTAGCGAATATAATTCGCGATAATATGTTTCGCTACAATTCCTTATAATTCATTTTGTGTTATAGTGTTTAATGTAAACTGCGTTTGTATGTTTTACTCAGTTAACAAAGTTTACTATAAGGTCTTCAGAACTAATGCCAATAACGTGTCAAACTTTTCACATGAAAAGCTGAAATGGCAAATCATCTTTTCCCATTCTTATGACGTTAACAAAATGTTCTTTTTTGTTTCTTAAAATGAATGCGTTGTGTGTGTTTTTTTCCTCTCAATTAGGTCCCAGAGAAGAGTTGATAGACAGACTGAAGAACTACATGATGCAGGTACGTGTGTCTCAGACGTGTTTTAGTACTGGTTTCTGCGTTAAGTACCGTAACTGATCTAGCAGTATTTGCAGACGATTAATTGGTAGCGAAACTGGCATATTTGAAAACATTTTCTTATAGTAATGCAGTTTTTTTATTTTATTTAAGACACCTATTAAATGCCATCAGTTGTGCTCAGAAGTTGACAAATTATGAGAAGTCAAGTTTGGAGGCAATAATAAATGTTATATACAGTAATGGATTAGTTGTGGTCTTTTCTAATTTGACATGCAATTAATGAGTTTCAGAGAAACGGTTTGGGAGGCAAAGTTTTTGTCCACCACCAGTGTCTGAGCTTTGCTTAATTGTTATTTGTTTTTCTTTTTAATCTGTAGACTGGAATCCTCCTCAGCAAGCACGGCGATGACAAGCCAATGAGTTCACAGGTAAAGTATGGTGACCACAATTCAGTCACTGTCGATGCTCAAAGCCTAAATGTTGTATAAAGTTTGATCTGCAGTAAGTCTTAAGTAAGTTTCTTGCTTTCATTATTTTTGAATTATCAGTGCCAATGGTGTAAAAAAATTGGACTCACAAGAGATAAGAGATAAAATAATAATCCACTTGTGATTTATGCCTACACAGATGCCAGGAATCCCTCCTTTGCCCCCGATGCCCATGCCGCCCTTGCCTCCAGGTATGGGCATGCTTCACATGATGCCTCCTCCCCCTGGCATGCACATGGGCATGGAGCCCCCGGGCATTCCTCCTCCCAACATGTCACAAGACGACCCGTGGAAGATAGCCGCCATGGTGCTGCAGCAGGAGGAAAGGGTCAAGCACCAGGTGAGGGATCATGACTGTCAAGACCACTGAGACCATTCACAACTGATTAGCTTGAAAATTCATTTTGTACTAAATACTCGTGTGTTTCACAGGGTGATGAACATGATCTTCTGGAGCAGCAGAAAAGGGTGCGTTTCCCACGGCTGTCATTTAAGTTTTATTTAATACTCCTATTTTGGTTTCATTGGATTTATAGTCTGACAAACCCTTTTTCCATCAGGCTGCAGTGCTGCTGGAACAAGAGCGTCAGCAGGTAATTGTCAAAATTGGGAACTATGCCTCCAGTCAACTCAGTGAGAAGTATGTTTTTGGTTACATTTTTAGATTAGATTTCATTATTTAAATTTCCTCAATGTTATCCTCTGTTAAACTGACAGTCTCTTTTATATAAGTAACAAAACTCATTTAAAAAAGTGCACAAAAAGAAAGAGAAAAATCAGAAATTAAAAATAACAATCTGGTATTTTAGGTCTGGATCCCCGTTCTATGCCCTCTGCTGTGACCATGTTGCCTCCTCAAAAACAGAGAGTGCCACCTCCTCCAGGAGAAGACAGAGAGGTGACTGCTTCATTTTTTTCTGGCTGTTTTTCTTGATGATCTTTGTTTGCAATGTTGCTAAAGCACCCAAATGTTTTTGTGACTTCAAATGCAGATGTGGCAGAATGAGGAGGTAACCCTTGGTGGTCCTAAGATCCCACAGGCTCTGGAAAAAATCCTGCAGCTGAAGGAGATCAGACAGGAGCAGCTCACTGATGTCACAGGTCTGGAGAAGACGTTCTTCCCATCAATCCTTTGTTTCATTTTTTCCTTCCTTTTTTTAACTTACTAACTTTGTCTTTTCTTTTAACTGGGAAGGATTTGATGAAGACGACGGAGCAGACATGGACAACATGTCTGGTACAGTCATGTCTGAGACAGAAGATGACGATGGCCAGCTCTCTAAAAAAGATGTGAGTCTCTTTTTTTTACCCATTCTATTGGTGACAAAGGTTTAGGGCAAATGTTGAAAAGAAGATCTTTATGGTAAAAAATGTCTACTCAGAAAAACCGCCGCCGCAGGAACCGCAAGAAGAAGAGTAAGAAGAAGCGAGCTCAGGAGAAGAAGGAACAGCAGGAGGAGGAAGAGCAACAACAACAGGAGCAACAGAAAAAGAAGGAGGGTGGGGAGAAGGAGAAAGAGAAAAACAAGGAGAAGGAACCAGAGGTTGAGATCGAGTATGTGACGGAGGAGCCTGAGATTTACGACCCCAACTTCATCTTCTTCAAGAGGATCTTTGAAGCGTTCAAGGTAAAAATAATGATAATATATGTTAAAGAACAGCAAAAATAATGTTCTTGGTGGCATTTGTAGTTAGAAAGTTTTTTCTAAGAAAGTTTGTTTCAACCTGTGTTCACCAGCTGACAGATGATGTGAAGAAAGAGAAGGAGAAGGAGCCCGAGAAGGCGGAGGAGCAGAAAACGATGGTGCTGCGGAAAAAGGGATTTGAGCTGGAAAGGAAAGACAGCGACGACAGTGATGAGGTTTGAATCCATTTTATCACATCAGGAGATGAGGAAAAAGAGTAAAACAAATAACTATTTTCCATGAAACGTTATTTGAATTTTGTGATTTTTATACACAGGAAACTCGAGCAGACATTCCTAAACTGTCCAAGAAGAAGCTGAGGAGGATGAACAGACTGACGGTGGCTGAACTCAAGCAGGTAAATTTGAAATACAACCTCAATATTGTTTTGTTGTGGAAGAATCAAGTGCACCAAAGATTTTAGCTCAAATAAACAACTTCTGTGACATCCTTCTGTCACTATGGTATATTCAAACTAACGGTTTTAAACAGTACCAAAAAACATGTTTTAAAAATAACGCATTGGAGAATATTTGAATGTTTCTGCTCTCTGCCTCTAGCTTGTGGCTCGTCCAGATGTGGTGGAGATGCATGATGTCACCGCACAAGAACCCAAACTTCTCGTCCACCTGAAGGCCACCAGAAACACAGTGCCTGTGCCGCGTCACTGGTGCTTCAAGAGAAAGTATCTGCAGGGCAAGAGAGGAATAGAAAAGCCTCCGTTTGAGCTGCCGGAGTTCATCAGGAGAACAGGAATCCAGGAGATGAGGGAGGCTCTGCAGGAGAAGGTGAAGGCTGAAAGGCAACCAGTTATCTTATCTTTAGGTTTCTGCTGTAACATCACATTGTACAAACATCTATTTCTCCTTGTTGTGCTCAGGAAGACGCCAAGACCATGAAGACCAAAATGAGAGAGAAGGTTCGTCCCAAGATGGGAAAGATTGACATTGACTACCAGAAACTCCACGACGCTTTCTTCAAGTGGCAAAGCAAACCTAAGCTCACCATCCATGGCGACCTTTACTACGAGGTAGTAAATGAGTTGTAGAAATAAAAAAAGTTAGCAATTTGGACACATTTCTGACCGTTGTGTGTGTGTGTGTGTGCTTTTCTTGTTTTTCCACAGGGTAAGGAGTTTGAGACTCGTCTGAAAGAGAAGAAACCTGGTGATCTGTCAGATGAGCTGCGTATCGCTCTGGGAATGCCTGTTGGACCTGTGAGTTTCACTAAGGACCCATTGTAAACACAGTATATTGACATAAATGCTAACTTTAATATATTTGCAGGTAGAGCTGAGCGATATATCAAGTTTTTACGACGTATCGGTTTATTTTCATATAGAATGAAACATCACTTATATTGATCTACGTAATTGTTCTCTTAACTTATATTTATGAAGGAGTTTGACTGTTTCTTTTCTCTCCTCTGAGTCTATCACTCTGCTCCACCTCTCTCTGTCTGTCCCTCTCTGGCAGTGTCTTGTTAGACAGACAAGACACTGCCAATTAAGAAAAGAGAAGGAAACTTTTTAGGTGGAATAAAGAAAATTTGGCGCCTGGTTATTTGCTGTTGTGAATCTGGGTTTAAATTGTCAGGTCTATGTCCTGATAAATGTTTGTGGTCATTTTCCACCACTGGTCTCGTGGCTCTGGACCAGAGCTGCCTGATGACCTGAGGTCAAAGCTGTTGTTGTAAACAAGTCAGAAATGAACTGCAGAGTGAAACCATTAGCTGTTTCATGGACAGATAATGGGATTTTTGCGGTAATTCTCTCTCAGCGCTAGTCACCAGGAGGATTGAGGCCTAATGCGTTTCTGTTCTCCTCTAAAACGACACGTAGTAGAAGCGCTTTCTTATTCCTACAGAGACCAGGCTCCACTGCTCTTTACTGGTTGTCCCTTGTCATTCTGGAACGCTCATTTCTGCTACTGATGTCACTTTCAGATTCCTATTTAGGTGCTACGGCTGTACAGGCTGTGAAAACAAACCTCCTGTAACACAAGACATGATGATGTTGAAACATGGTAACAAGAGGATGAAATACAGCAGTTATAGAAAATTATAACACATTAGAATCTAAAGGAAAATAAAGTAGCAGAACGAGTGAACACTCGGAGAATAAACCAGTTATTAGGGAGGGATGCAGGTGTTTACAAGTCTTGTAAATCTTGTAACGTGTAAGACTATAATGGTTTTCTTTTATCTCTGTATTTGTTTTCCCCAGAATGCCCACAAGGTGCCTCCTCCCTGGCTGATAGCCATGCAGAGGTATGGACCTCCTCCCTCTTACCCCAACCTGAAAATCCCAGGACTCAACTCACCCATTCCAGAAGTAAGAGTTTGACTGTAAACACTAATAGCACTGGAGTTTGATATGTAGAAATGTAAAAACCTTTAAAGGTGTGATTCTTCTATTTTCTCACTTTGTCTTCTCTTTTGGTCAGAACTGTACTTTTGGATATCACGCAGGAGGTTGGGGTAAGCCTCCCGTCGATGAGATGGGCAAGCCTCTGTACGGTGATGTGTTTGGGACTCATGCCTCAGACTTCCAGGTACAAAACTGCAAGAAATCCGATGAAGTTTACATTCTATTCATCATAAAGAAAACAGTTAAGTTGTTCACCACTCTGTAAAAACAAAAGTTAAAGCAGAATGTGTTTGTTCAGGCTAAAGCTGATGACGAGGAGGTGGACCACGCGCCATGGGGAGAGCTGGAGCCATCTGATGAGGAGTCCTCAGAAGAAGAGGAAGAGGAGGAGGAGAGCGACGAGGAAAAACCAGACGAAACAGGTTTCTTCACACCAGCAGACAGGTACGGGAAATTCACCCCGACGGCAAAAAAATTAGGATTAAAACAAAATTAAGCTTTCTGTGATTGTCTGCTTGAGTAACTACTACTTCTAATTCTCGTATATTCATTAGTGTCCATCATGATCACATGACTCATACGCTCTGATGATCTGATTCGTTTCTGTGTTTTTAATGCGACTTCAGCGGACTCATCACTCCTGGAGGCTTCTCCTCGGTTCCTGCAGGCATGGAAACGCCAGAGCTGATTGAGCTGAGAAAGAAGAAGATCGAGGAGGCCATGGACGGGTGAGAGTGGAGCTCATTTTCTTCCTTTTTTTTATTAATTCACTGTTGACGCCAGCAGCAGTAATTTAATCCTCCATGCGCTGGAAACACACGCAGCGGCAGACATCCCTCATTTTCACTAGAACTCATGAAAGGTTGCATTTAAAGAGTTTTCCAGCAAATATTTCCACATACATATTGGTATTTAAAAAAAATCTTTGTCAAATTGAAATCCTTCATTGTGATTATAGCCATGTTCATCATTACAGTATTTTATTTGTTGGTTAACTATTTATCTTTAAGCCACCTTTTAGCTTTCTCACTAAAATCATTTTTTTATATTTAGTAATTTTGATTATATTGTTGCTTATCTGAAAACCTGTAGCTGTTTTTGTGCTAACCTTTAGTTCCAAGCTATTTTGACACTACTAACCCTATTTATTGCCTGATTGGTGGCCTTTACTTTTCGGCAAATATTGGTGTATCTTTTTTTTCTCTTCTAGTGTCCTAGCCCTGACGTCGCTCTTACAATTACAACTAAGATTTTTCAGCTAAATAATTTGTAGCCAATTTAGACCAGTTTTCAGCTGTCATCTTGTCAAACCGTTGCTTAATTATGTTCCGAGTTTAAGCTATTTGTTATAAATTTAAATAAATAAATGAAGATTGTTTGTGGTTTTATACATTACATTTTCACTGTTCTGAGGCTCAGCTGTGAATTGACCCCCTGACGACCCCTTGCATTTTCTTCTCCTGACATTATGTACTTCTAAACACAAGCAGAATCATCTTGACACATTTTCTCTGTTAATATTTGAGCTTTTGTGTCTACAGAAACGATACGCCTCAGCTCTACACCGTCCTCCCAGAGAGGAGAACAGGTCCAGTGGGAGCAGCCATGATGGCCTCCACACACATCTACGAAATGTCAGGGGTGAGAAACCTCCTCCACTGCTTTATCAGACACCAACATCTTCTGTCTGTAGTTCCTGTGTCACCATTGTCCTTGGTCTCTGTTCTCTTCAGTCCATGGCCGGGCGTAAGACGGGTGGAAGCCAGGAGTCTCAGGGTGTGGAGGTGGCCCTGGCCCCAGAGGAGTTGGAGCTGGACCCCATGGCCATGACCCAAAAGTACGAGGAACACGTGAGGGAGCAGCAGGCTCAGGTGGAGAAGGAGGACTTCAGCGACATGGTGGCTGAACATGCAGCCAAACAGAAGGTGAGACGCTGTTAGAATCTAAGTGCTAACACCCAAGCAGTATATGGAGATACACAGGATGTTGATTTGGCTAACCATTAGCTTTTATTTTTTTAAACTGCATCTGGTCTAGGTTGTTTAGTTCTTTTTGGCTGATACTTAAGACTTTTATTATTTCACTTCTTTTGGTGTTTCATAACCAATTTAGTCTATTTTATAATTATACTTTTTATGTTTTAGCTGTTTTGTGGTTCATTGTAGCCTGTAAAGCATTATGTGTTCAAACTTTATTTGATAAGTTCTTACCCGTCATGTCAGGTGTGTGTAGACGTCTTATAGCAGATGTTAGTTGTCAAAAGCTTTAAGTATCTGTCATTTTTTGCAAGATTTTTAACCCTAAGCCTTAGCTCTCTTGTAGCTAGCTGGAGCAGGTCTTTAGTTAGATAGCCATTTTTGGTAGCCCTTAGTAATTGCAGGCTAACATTTTGCAACTGTATACCCATTTTGTTTAGTCCAGTCTATGTTTTTCATTAGAATTTCTGGCATTTTTGTGAAAGAAACATTTTTAAAACATTTTGTCCAGCTATAACCCTGAGTAAAGCTGTGGCTCCTGCAACACTCCTAAATGTCAGGACTGTTGCTCTTTTGGTGACATTTAAATCTTAAACGAAACTCTCGTCTCTTGTGTCTGTGCAGCAAAAGAAGAGGAAGGCTCAGCCACAGGACACAAGAAGTGGCGCAAAGAAATACAAGGAATTCAAGTTCTAGAACAGAACCGCTGCGATTGAGAGGAGGAGCCAGAGCCACAACAGGAAGTGAAAGGGGAAACGGCACTGTCGGAAGATTCAGATTTCAGCATCAACAAGAACAACAACAACAGTCTACTTTTAGACCAGTTTAAATGTGTTTAGGTCCTTTTTTAAGAATTAAAAACCCTGTAACTGTAATCATGTGTTGCATCTATTGTGGTTTAATTTTCATTTTCCCCTGTTTTTGTAAATAAATGAGATGACAACAGTATGTGCTGTTAAAACATTGCTTACTTTATTTTAACTATTATAAGATTTTTTAAGATTTTTTTATTATCTAGTTTTTTATCTGGCTACAAGTTAGCCATTTAATAGTTTTATTTTCTTACTTGGGCTAAACCATTAACAAGGTAATATTTATACTCACAATAAGGTCTACATTAAGCAATTGCTAAGAAATAATATCTAGCAACAGCTGTCTGTCCATCCACTCATTTCCATCCACTCACGACCACCACCCAAATCCCACTGCACCGTACCAACCCCCCTGAACCTTCCTGCAGGTGGTCAGTCCACTGGAAGGTACCAACTGCCCTAACTGGGATTCTAACTCACCCAGGAGGTGAACCCTGGGTTTCCACACCAATGACAGAGACATGGCCTCTGGGCCAAAGGGCCACATGGCTGTCTACAGATAGAAAAATAATACATGTTTTTACAAAGTAAAACCAAACAACCAAAAGTAATTCACAACAGTTAACATGCTTAGTCAATAATTGTAGTAAAAGTAGCTAATGAATAAATTAACAAAATTAGTCCAGGTAACAAATATGCACTCCAAAGAATCAATATGAGAACTTACTAAAGTTCTATCTGTCTGTCTAGCTCGTGTTTACAAATAGCCAAGACTAATACCAGTTAGCTAAAAAGAAAATTCACATGTATGTATAGAATGCAGATAGCTTGTATCCCAGAAAACTAACTATACAAATAGCTTAAACGTTAGCCAAGAAATACTCCACTATCGCTTGAAAAAAAATTAAATAATGAAAGTTAAATAAAATAGAAGCCAATTAAAGCAATAATGAGTGATAGTGGAAAAATATAAACAAATTAACCGAATAGCTTGTGATATAATCTATTTCTCTTCTCTCTCTCTCTCTATATATATATATATACACACAGTATATATCGGTCTAATTCTCTCTGAGTGAATCTCTCTCTCTCTCTCTCTCTCTCTCAGTTATTTCCGGTTCCTTTCTTTCTGTTCGTGTGTGTATGTCCGTGTGTATGTGTGTGTGTGTGTGTGTATATCTGATACTAAGGTGTGTTTTCCACCACACACACAGTCTAACAACAGAGGCAGCAGCGGCAGCAGGACCCACACCACGGACTCGGGTTCTCTCAGCCCCAGCTGCCGCCTCTGTCCTCGGCCTCTGAAGCTCCAGCTTCTTCGCTCTCTGACACCGGGCCATGTTTCCAGCGGCAGGCGGCGAGGAGTGACTGTTTTTCTGCCTCGACTGCAGCGCAGCTCGGGCGGCGACTTTTAACGTATTTTTTTGGGGAGAGAAAACAAAAAACACAAGGCAAAAACAGGACGACAAAGAAGAGTGCGAAGAAGGGACAGAAATCCAGGCCCCTTGTACGATTTTCTCCCGACATTCACTACCGGATAGCGGGATGTCGGAACGCGGAGGTCTCCCGCGGACTGGGGGCGTCCCTTCCCCTCACATGCAGCCCTCCAAGCCGGTCAGCATCACCTCCAACCGGCCTGTCCATATGAACCTGTTCGCTACCTGGGAGGTGGACCGCTCCTCTCCCAGCTGTGTGCCCAGGTATGTCAGTGAATAGTTGGCAGTTGTTGTGCTGTTTGTCTCGTTGTATTGGAACAACTTCCCATCACATTTCAGCTACTTATACCCTGTGGTTGCTTTAGGTCATTCACTAGAAGTGTATGGTGGCGTGTTCCTGGTAGTAATACTAACATCTGTCTGCAGTTTCACTTACCTCCTTTGTTGGATTTTGGGCACGTAATCTCCATGCTAGTATTTTTGCCTGCCCCACTAATTCCACATAGATGGAACCAATAGAGGGCAGTGCATTGGCTGAAGACATATATTATCATATAATATTCATAAAGTGATACTACAAAGCTTAAACTTTACCCCAAAAACCTAACAAAATATAAAGCAAAGTTATAATTGGTTAAATAATTAGTTAATGCATACGAATTGCTAAACATTCAGTAATGTGAACATTTTTTTATAATTAGCAAAAGTACATGGAGTTGTTGGTCAAAAAAAAAAAAACCCAACAAAAAAAACACTAACTGATAACCTAAAGGGCAATGTGAAAAATGTCTTAATGGCGTTACCAGTGGTATTGGTAATGGGAATTAATGGTACCATATGTAAGACTAAGTCAAAGCTAATTATGAAGCTAAATGTCCCAAAGTTCACATATCCTGTTTAATAAAGGAACTCTCGGTGTTTGTTTTTTTTTAGATGTGACAATAGATATGTTGCGTGAACAACACAGCGTGTATGGTGTTAAAGGGAAGCCATGCAACATGGTTTCGGTGGACAAACATTAGCTTGTGGTTAAATGAAAGCTAGCAGGGCTGTTTGGGTTGGAGCAGCTGCAGCATTTCCACAGCAGTGTGTATCAGTACCTGAGCCATGCAGACACAAAGCCAGACACAGCGTTGTGTTGCAGACTGTCACCATGACTGTACTGAGTGCACACACATCTCCTGCTGTGATGAATTGGTTTTGTAGGGGACGACACAGGGGACAGTAACGGGGAAGGAATGGGGAAAAAGCAGCTACATCACGTTTCCTTGACATGTTGTGATGGATGTTGGTTGTTGATGTGGGAGGTGCAGTGCAGCAAGGTCACAGTAGGTGAGACACCTCATCACAAGCTGTCGTCTCAGACCAACACCACCGGAAGGATTGTCTGTATCATATCAGGAGTTTTGGGTTCTTCCCTCATCCAGATCCTGCTACTTTGCCAGTAATAGCCATTTTTAAAAATGTTTTTGGCATAAGTGTTTGCAGCAGTTTGCCAACCTGAGGCTCAACACTTAACGATACCTTGTTTAGAAGCCCTACTTGCAGGAAAAGTTTGTTTTTTTTTTTGAAGGTTGAGGCCAAAGTTTCCCCTCCTCTTCTTTTTGCCAGGAAATTGACCTTTTCTCAAACCCTTACACTAAAAATCTACAGCTGTTGAACCACATCCTGTCCCTCATGCTGCAGAGCATTTTTTCAGCAGCTTTGTTTTTTTTTACAATCCTATACATGTGTAAATATTTCCTAATAATGTGTTAATATCATATTTTCCTTTATTGCATCATTTCTGATATTGTACTGTGTACAACCTTGTACAAATTAGGTTCAAATGTTGACTGATGATTTATATGACACCTGAAATCTGTGGAGCAGTAGAGGTCCTTCTTTAAAAAAATCAATATAAAATCTTACATTATAGACACTGCTGTCATTTTGTTAGCTCAGAGTGACTTTTTAGCTTGCTTGCCAACAGCAAAATAACCACCTACCCTCTGATTAGTTGTCTGCTTTGGCTTGTTACTGTTGCTCTTATGCAGCCTCATGAGTGGTTGGAGAACAATATTATGGTGAAAAAGTAGAAATTCAGTGCCCACAACTTGTTGTATCTGATGTGGCACTGGCTTAGCAAGAGATATAGGACACACATGTATATAATACGTATAAGTATATATATATATATGTTGCAGGCACCACCCTCCAGCATCTCCAGATACTCTTAATTTATCTGCTTGTCTGCTATAACATCCGTGGTTATGAGTCAGATTTGAGGTCAAAGGTCAGCCTTTGTAGAGACTAAGGAGCTGCTCATGTGAGTCACAGGCTGCTGAGCACAGTCTGAGAGTCAGTGTTGGGTTTTTTATAAGCAAATTCAAACCATAAACAGTGCTTGTATCTGGGTGTTAAAATTAGTCTGTGACATTTACAGGCCGGTAAACTTCTAGTAGGTGTCCATCTAAAGTGCAGTTTGTTGTCAGGCAGCTCAGCTGCAGCCTCTACCTGACACCAGTCCAGATGTTTGGGCTGCTAAAAGCATTTAACAGGAATAAAGCCTGCATTAAAAGCTCGACACACACAGCTCACACACCAACAAAGACTTAGGGAAGTGTTTTTGTCTTTTCCTGTTGTGGTCATGTTGCATCCTCCACCACAGGCTTGTAAATAAAGTCTCTGATGTGTGATCCGGAACGTCTCAGGCTAAACATGAAAACGAGTATGGGTTGTCAAAAGCAGTAAAACTAGCAAATAAATGACACAAAGGGAACAAATGACAAATGAAACATTTAGAAAACAAATTCAAAATAAATGACTTATAAAGGGTTGGTGACATTTAGCTCTGTATGATAAACGTTTAGCCTTTTTCACTGTGTGAAGTCTTTGATGGTTTTTGGATATCTTTAACCCACCTACAGATATTTTAGCTAATAATTATGTCATCTGCATTCTCTCAGAACAATGGAATGTTTGGTACATTTGAGACAAAGACTCTGAAATAACATGCCGTACGTAGCCAAAACTGTGAGCTATTTGCCAAGGAAGGCTACCTGCATATATGTGACAAATATCTTATAGAGGGTTTTTTGCCAAGGAAGGCTACCTGCATATATGGGGGGTTTTAAAAAAACACTTTGTGTGTTTTTAGTTGTTTCAAGGTCATTTTGCTGCACAATTCTCCTGCGTTAGCCACAGCCAAATATTATACATTTTTGGCACTCAATACTTTTGAGTATTGACTTTTTGTTTTTGCGCAGTCGTCACGGTTGGTTAAATATCTTTGATTTCTCTGCAGCAGTAGCGACAAGAAACTGTGGTGTTGGAGGAGGAGGAACAGGAATGAAAGCAGTGACTCTGTCATTTACATTCTAATAGGATTTATCACAGGCTCCAGCTGAAGGAGTGGGGCTTTGGAAATGAAAAGAAACTGAGTTTGACCCATTTACTCCTCGTCTCTGTAACTAAACCACCTCCTCATTTCTTTCTCCATCTGAGGTGTTGTTGCTACTGTATAACCCCATCCTGTCTCGTCTACCCACAATGCCTCTTGGTATGTTGTTTAATCGTGGTGAGTTGCTGGCAGGCACGAACCTGCTCTCAGTTGTTTTCTCCGTGTATCTCCAGAGAACCTGGACAGATGCTGAACATGTCGACCCCTGTGGGACGTCTTAGCCACCAGGTTTAGAAACTTTAGGTAATACTAAGTCTGGTTACTTATAATACATTTGACAATGGAAGGAATGACTAAACAACAACCAAACCAACGCTGGTGTGCTAAAAAAAGTACATAAAATAGCCCAACATGATTGTTTGTGGAAAAGTTCCCCTGTCTTTTCTGTCCTCAACCCAAATATGTTTTTATGGCTCTAACCCTGACTCCTCTCCACCGAGTGTCTCCTCTGAGGTCTCTTCCTCTTTCTCTCCTCCTGACCTTCTTTCCTCTCCTTCTACTACATAGGAATAAATCATTTGTCTGACTGCAGGGTGATTCCTCTCCTGCAGCCTCCTCTGGCTTTCCGTTGCTTCCTTTCCTTCACCACACGGCCAGGAAATGTTCTTTTCTGCAGCCATTTATTCCCGCCGACGTTTCTCTGAAAATTGGCCTCACACCGTATGTTTCTGCAACTACAAACTTCAGTGAAGGTTTCAAATCCTATTTCATCAAAATGTTCTGTCATTTTTCTAAAAATAGAAGCTAAGACAGATGTTTAGCACTTAGGTGAAATGCACTTTTTGCAGCAGATTCTATTTTTTCTGGTATTTTCCAGTGCAGACTTTTATCATGGACTGAGGTCTGATTCTTCTCTACATAATGCACCTGTCATTTTAATCAGCTGTAGATCTGGACTGCAGACAGTCATGCACATTCAGCAGTGGTTTCTGCCTGTGGCTTTTACACACAGAGAGATTTCCACAAGTGCTGAGCCTTTCTTACTGGTAGCATTAGCCCGTGGTTGGTATCTGTTGGTATCTGTATCTGGTTCACATCCATCCTGATTCTTGTCTGTCCTAAATCACTGGTCTGTTAAACTGAGGCTCCAGTATTTGACCACACTTCAAACTGTAGTTTTCATGGCATTTGTCCCAAATTCTCTATGTTTGCTTTTTATTTCTGTAAACTTTGTTTATAAAACGTTCCCGGGAGTTTGCACCACAAATGGTTTGAATTCCATCCTCCAGCAGAGTGAGCGCCCAGGCCTCCTCATGCAGCCACTCTGTGTCAGGTATTTCAGGAATGAGCTCAGTGGCAGAGCTTCTCATCCAGCATGATTAAAGAAAGCCCCCTCACAGAGCACAGGTGGGGGAGGGAGGCAGAGTCCCATGACTGCTGCTCTCACAGCCACATTCAAACCACGGCATTCTTCTTAAAATATGAGAAGATCCTTTTTTTGTGTGTGTGTAAACAGGAAACAACAGCTTCTTTGACTCTTCAGTTTCACAAGGATCCACAGATGAACACCAACAGTGAAGAAATAAAAAAAAATTTTAAAGCATGACACCGGAACATTTTTTTACCATGAACTAAGGTTGTGCAAATGGGTTCCCATGAAGAAATCAAAAGATGCACTCAAAGAAAAAAATCCTGAGAATGAAACAGAAGAGCAACAAAAAGGCTGTTGTTTTTTGGCTGAAAAGTATTTTCATATAGACAAATAACAATGACTGCAATGACATTAAAATGATGTCCAAAAATATTAGCTCAGGACAGTAGGGACAGTAGTTAGAATTTAGTGACAAACTTGTTAGATATCCAGCCTGGTAAAATTTGGCCA